AATTTACTATTTGGACGCCATGGTCTTTGCCTTGAATTTAAATGACTTCCGATTTGTAAATACGTTCCAATAACGAACCATGCATAACCTAGATACGACAGAAGAAATAAATAAATTTATATAAAATCTTTAATTTGGTTCCTTTTCCCAGCACTATGTTATTATTGCATTTACCTGTTGAGCCACATGTCCAACACTAAATAAAGAGGTATTAACTTTTAGTAAAATTATTGGGTTTATTTAGTAATTAATTACACATACTTACCAATTCTTGTAATACTAAATTAATTATTTATTAATTGATGAGTATTTGTATACATTAATAATTAACTATAGCATTAAGCATTATATTATTGTTTATACTTACTTTCTCGTATCAAATAATTATTATCAAATGAATCCGTCCAAATCGTAAATTAACTGATAGATATCTTTTAATGATAACAATAATTGCACCAATCTCGATATGGCCAATTACGATTGCATGTGGTTATTTTAGAGACAATAAAAATGACAGAGTAGCAGATATATTAATATCGACAAAAGATGCATTATGGGGTTTATGGAGTGGATTTGGCGCATTGGGAGTATTTTACTTTGGTAAAGAATTATGTAACGTCTTAAGATATCATATTAATGTTGCAAGAAGAAGTAATCATATCACTATTGCAAGAGTGGAACGAATGCAAACTGGTTTGGAAAAGATTAGATTTACTTTATATATTATAATGGCGACTAATATATATTTTGTAATATATTGTCTAATTTCTTCCATATATCGCGTATGGATAATTACACATTCTAAGCCATTAAATATATTCATGTTTTTAACTTACGCTTTTTTCACCCCTATTTGCATTATTTTTGTCGTAGCCACAATAAGCATAAGGTAAATAATTTACGCGTTTCCACTTTTTGTTTCTTTTTCACTTTTACACGTGACAATAATCATTCTTTTATCTATTCATGTAGAACAATACAAAGTTATAAAAGAACAACATTATTATTATCCACAAAATTATCGAAAAATAATACCCTTAATTCCATGGTTGAGAAAAACATAAATCATAAAGACAATAAGAGGATTAATTCAAATTTTTCTCTTAGGAGATCATTATCAGCTAGTAATAATTTACATAAAAAACGATCAATTTTAACTGTTAACGGAATAGAAAAACAAATTCTTCCTACGCCAGAAATACCTGAATTATATTCAATTACTTCTGCAATCGCTGCTATGGATTATCTGAATTTACCTATTTCTCTTTCTACGGATTATTATATGACTGATCAACATCAATTTGACGATTTAGTTGCTTACACTCAATTTAACAATGACGTTAAATTACAAGCAGAAGAAATTGGAAAGAGAGAATCTGGAATTGGAGAAATAGATGATTATCAAGAATTACCTTCGATGACGATTGGATTAACTTCTAACATAACTTCTATTATGTCTTCTGGGATTAATGAATTAGACGAAGAAAAAAATGATAATTTGTTAAAACAACCTGAAAAGGTTGTTGTGAGACCTGGTTCTCCTACTATTCCTATTCATTCTTTAAACAATCATAATAATGATAATATTAATATCGATGGGTTGGATCAAGAGTTATGAGAGGGTTCATATATTATTTATTTTTAAAATATAAATATAGCAATTATTTTATTTTTATTTTTGTATATTAAATATATTTTGTAATCAATCTGTATAATTAGGTTGGTTGCTACTGTGGATTTTAAAGATACTTTTTCATTAAAAAATTTAGAATCTGTAGAAATGAATTACTAATCGGGTATGATCTAGGAAAAATGACAGTCTGGGACTATATATCATGATTTTTCCTAGCTCATGTCCATAGATCGATTTAAACAAAAGTATTATTAAAATAATGGATGGGAAATATTGAAACTAAAGTTTGTAAAAAGAAGTAAATGAAGACTTCAATCTCTTTAGATCTTTTTCTTTAAATTTGATTAAAATAAAATCTAACGCATTACAGCTTATCCTTAATCGGTAAGGATTTTCATTTAAATATCTTCAATTCATTTTTTTATCAAAAAAAAAATGGATTTTAAATTAATACAAAAGTTACTAAAAAATTATTCATAAAAATTATTTTGTATAATATATAGTATTTAAATAACTTTAATTAATAAGTAATATTAGTAAAATTACAAATAAATTTAAAAAAAAAATTATTAAAAGAATATTAATTAATAAGCTTTTAATTTAATTAAAATAAATATTATTAAATTGTAAAGCAAGTAAATTTGCATTTGAATTTGAATTTTCAAAAAAGTTATTAAATAAAATTCTTTTTTATATGTGCGGTAGCTTTGCACAATCTTTATTAAATGTAAAGTAAAAAAATTACAAATTATAAATGAGAAAGTACAAAAATTTCTATTTAGAAAGTTAAATTAAAGATCAACATTACAACATTTCAGAAAACCTACCTAAACTAATTTAAAATAGACTTAACCATCCAGCACCAGAGGCCTGGTTACTATCAATCTAAAAATTTGACCAATTAGAATCATATTGAAAAAATGTGATAAAAAAAGAAGAAATGTCAAAAGAGTGTGTAGTTGGATTATTAAATAAAATTCAATTATTATTATATAAATAAATAAAGTTTTATAATATTTTCTTGAAAAAATAGTTTAATCTGTAAGAATAATGATATATATTATCTAATATCACTTTATTATAAATACCTATTTTCAAGTAAGATATTTTAATTATGTGAATGTAGATTATTTTTCTTTTATAGAATTCATATATCAGTTATTAATAAAATATACTATTATAATACATAAAGTTAATA